CAAAGATGCCAGATTTAAGCTACAGTTCTCTAGTTCCGGAAGCTAAATGAAAAGGGTACTATTGAGTCTCTTGTGTCTTCTGTTCAAGTCAAATAACTTACCCTTTGCAGACAGATCAACAGTCTGGGTGGACCCACATACATCAGGCCGGTTTGCCAATAACCGCTCCTTCCGCTACTCGAACGTCTTTGCAGCGAACTGCGGCTCCTCGTTCACCTCGATCTTGTACTTCAACACGAGCATGTGAGGATTGCGATGCCCTCGGTTTCGAAGAAGCGTCGACCGATGCACGCGAGGGCCCCTGCGCAGGTAATTTGAGCAAGTGCAGGAGAAAGGAGAGGAGAACAGAGGAACGAGATGAGCGTACCCGCACTAACGAGCAGAGAGGTGTCGCACGGCCAATCTTTCTCGAGGAACCTCGCGGGCTTGAATGCCTCCGGGTCGTACCAGTATCTCGCTGAATAAACGTCACCACAGCCCAATTTACATCAGCAGTGAATCATGAAAAGGGGCGAGGGGTGTGTACACATACTCCGAGTCGTCCCAGCCGTGCGCTATTGCTGGCTGGGTACCGGCGCCCTGTATTGCATACTGTAGGCTGGGCGCATAGTGACCGGCTGACGGGTTATGATTGCAAAACTCTCAAATACCCATCCAAGCGGATATTTGCAGCACCGATTGTTGATGAAGCACTCACTTGAGCCACGGTAACAAAAAGGAAAAAACATGTTAATGCAAACTTAGGTGACCTACAGTGCCATGTGAACTGTCGACCTCGTGGCTGAGGCGGAAAGGGATCATAGTGCGTCAAGACCACTATACCAATATCGCAACACATTTGCAGGGCTTTGGTAGTATATATCGAAAGAAATGACAGCGTGTAACTGAGGAAATATCGTTGCCGAAGAGTCTGAAGAGTCCAACTTATCCATGCACGAATTATTGCAAGCAATGGAAGCGATGAAATGCCGATAATGTCCTCCCTGCGGGCATTATCGTCTCGATTACCCTTTCGCAAAAAGGGTTACAGTAAGGTGACCGGGGGTTGCTTTCTTTGCCGGGTGCCTGGACCATACCCCAAGCCCGGCTGGACCTGATCATTCCGAGCTGAACGCTCTCTGTTGCCATATATGACAGGTATGGGTTAAGACAGAGTCGACTGTACGCTCTGATCTGAGATGCATGCGTGTTGTCGCGCGATGACGGATTGTCGCTGTTCGACGGGCTGGTTTGCGTACGGTATGTATGTGCACGGCGGCCGAATTCTTGATAGTTTGCTATTCCAGCCTCTGGGAATATCTGCGTGCCTATGCAGGTTTGGGACTCCAATATCGAAAGCTTAGCACTGCAGGGACGGTGTGGGTTGTGGGAGGCTGGAAGGCGGCCCGCGACAAAACAAACATCCGGACCGGCATCAGTTCACATGTGCCTTCTGCCAGCTTCTACCGCCGTAACGAGTGTTTGATACGAGAGGCCCCACGGGCGTACTGCTGCATGCAGCGGCGCGACGGTATTCCCTTAGAATTCTTCGCGTCCCAGGGAATTTTGGTAATGAGCAGATCACGACAAGATATAAATATGGGCGCGCTCTGCGGTTCCGAGCTTCCCGTGCTCCTCGTCTATTCAGTCGCTGGGATTAGAGACGACCTATCCTTGTCTCCCTTGTCTATCGCTTGCCATTGGACGTCTGGATAGAGAGCAGTAAAGATGGCCCCGCTATCTCACAACACCAAGGTTATCCTCTTGGCTATATTCATCGCCTTCGGTAAGTTCAAACTGTCCTACCTTCCCCGCGTGCACTAAACGAACCTCCCTGGTATCTCAGGAGGATTCCTGTTTGGCTATGACATCGGTGTTATTTCAGTGCGTATCCCGTTCACCCCGCTCGTAAGATAGTCGCTGACGATCAAGTCGTGTGCAGGGATGTCTGATTATGCCAGACTTTATCGAGCGGTTCGGAGAGGGTTCTCCGGGCTCAAAAGTCTTGACTGCATCCCGACAATCCATCATCACATCTCTGCTCTCCGCTGGGTCAGTCGGATGATCAATTCTTGGTCCTTCGTGATACTGACTCCCCCCAAGGACATTCGTAGGAGCATTGGGACAGGCCTTCACCTCTGATTCATTGGGTCGTCGCGGCTCTATTCTTCTATGGAGTGCCATCTTCACCGTGGGCACCGCCATCCAGACCGGCACGGAAACCTCGGTCGTGCAAATTACCATCGGCCGCTTCATCGCGGGCTTGGGAGTCGGTGCCATGTCTGCGATTGTGCCCCTGTATAACGGTGAGACCGCGCCGAAGGCCCTCCGTGGTACGCTACTGGTCATGTATCAGCTGCAAATCATCATTGGGTGAGTCTAATGCGGTACGCGTGCGCTGTGACTCTGTCCTGACGCTGCTCCCATTCCAGTATCTTCATCTCGTACATCATCGACCTCGGCACCCACACTATCAACAACTCGGCCTCATGGCGCATCCCAGTCGGCCTGCAGATGCTCTGGGGCCTCATCCTCCTCTCCGGCATCTTCTTCCTCCCCGAATCGCCGCGTCACCTCCTGGGCAAGGGCAGGGCCGACGACGCACGCAGGGTCATCGCAGACCTGAACTCCGTACCCACGGATGATCCGCTCGTGAACGAGGTCATCGAGGAGCTGGAGTTCGGTATCAGGGCGGAGAACGAGGGCGGCAAGGCTACCTGGCTGGAGTGCTTCTCCACCCGGAACAAGCTGTGGTACCGTACGATGAACGGGATGATGTTGCAGTTCATCCAGCAACTGAACGGGCAGAACTTTTACTGTATGTCTCATCCGTGTTGGCTCGCCGTCCAGTGCGCTGACTCCAGTCATATAGACTACTATGGTGATACTTTTTTCCAGAGCGCTGGTACGGAACTGAGCGCGTACGTCATCCAAACTATCCTGGGTGCTGTCTCGGTAGCTGGCACGGTTCCTGCACTTTACTTGATTGAGTCGATGGGACGTCGGAAGGTACAGTCGATTATTCACCCAAATGTGACGCGATTATTTATTCATCATGCTCCTTAGTCTCTGCTCACTGGTTCAGTGCTCGAAGCCATCTGCGCCCTGATCGCCGGTCTCGTGGGCCACTACACCCTCGCACCATCCGGCACCCCCGCCTCACAGCTCACGAAACGCAACAAGCAGGGCGGCGACACGCTCATCGCCTTCGCCGTCCTGCACGTCTTCTCCTTCTCGATGTTCTGGGGCCCGACGCCCTGGGTCTACCTCGGCGAGAGCTTCCCCCTGCGCGTGCGCTCCAAGGCGATCGCGCTCGGTAGCGCGACGAACTGGATATGGAACTTCCTGCTCTCGTTCTTCGCGCCGCGCATCGCCGCGAAGATCGGCCCGCTCATCTTGCTCATCTTCTTCGGCATGCTCGTCTTCGGGTTCGGCTATGTGTACCTCTTCATCCCGGAGACCAAGGGCCTCAGTCTGGAAGAGGTGGACGAGATGTACCGTGCCGGCGTAAAGCCATGGCATTCATCTAGCTGGCGCCCGCACTTGTACGACAAGGGTGTGGAGGAGAAGGAGGTTCGGGAGGTCCGGGAAAAAGCTGATCAGGAGATTTAGGATCGGGGATACCTATATATTTGTTTACGATCTCACGTTCCTGGATGCCCTCATACTGTAATTTACCGCACTTTGTTGTACTACCTCACTGCATCGCAAAGATGGCAGACTTCACTCTAAGAATATTCGTGAAGAAGAGTTGAGCGCCAGTGAACGAGATAATCTGCTTCAAAAGGGGTGTGTGGACATCATTGTATGACTAGTTCCACTTGTCCTTTCCCGTTGTTGAAAGGCACTACCCATGCACCCGCATCCTGAGTCATATTGCCAGCAGGGGTTACCGAGCCAACCCCAGAAACGACAGCGGTTTGGGCTACGGTAAGTCGACCTTGAGGCGCGGAGGCCGCGTTCACGGAACCTTCGACCTTCGGCACGATGGTAACGGTCAACCTTTTGTTCCCGGGATCGTATTGCACAGTTGAAAAGGCACCCGCGTCTAGGCTGAGCAGAATCGCCAGCGGGGCAATGAACACCCTGCGGCGAACCGGATCGAGAGTCTGGACAAGGACAGTCGGAGAAGCGGACAGCACTTTTCCTCCGAACGCCTGCCATCCAAAGTCCGGATGATCAATTATGTACGTCCCCATCCCAAGGGCGTGACCAACGAAATTGGGGCCGTAGTCACCGGAGTATGCATCCCATTTCAGTGTGTCCTCGAAAGAGTGGAAGGATGCCGAGGCGAATCCGCCTTCGTCGATGCTGGACAACGGTCCGCTCAAACCTCCGTACGCGGTCCGTAGGAGATAGAAATCTGTTGGATCGGACTGGAACTGCGATATCAAGGGCAATGCGTTCAAGCCGCTACCATAATGGTGAATCTGACGCTCAATGCGCTGAAGCTTTCCTCCATAGATGTTGTCCCTAGAGGCCTGTCAGCGCCGCGGCCCTCTCAAGTGATCACGCGTGGTGACTCACCAGTATCGTCTGGCGTTGCCATTGTATCCCCAGTGCGGCACAGTCGGCTGAAACGCAATGATAGAATTTATTGCATTGATCGCAGTCGTGGTGTCGTTGAAATACTTGGCCCAGGCATAGACGCCTTCCTGACCGGTAGAATCCCAGGCCATCTCTGAACCAAAACTACGCTGCCAGTATCGGCATAGAGTGATGGAGGAATATGGGATGCGACTCACGGATAACGCTCTCCCGACCATATGGACTCACGAGCCCGCATCGCATTCTCTACAAGGGATGCATTGGCGGTCAAACCTTCCCTCTTCAGATCATCCAGCAGGAAGCGTATCACCGTCTCATCCATCAAACCGTCGTTCACATATCCTACGTTATCTTCGGTCATGGCCGCCACAGTCAACACAGCCTGGTTGAGGTACCACTCCCAATTACGGACCTTCGCGATGTCAGGATAGTTTCGGGCGACGCGGTAGAGCGACCAGTACGCCCCGATAACGTGGACATAGTCATAAGCACGGTCGGTCGCCCATGCCGCGGCCTGGTTCCAGGACCACCACTGGGTCCAGTCGATGCTGGACGGGTAGGCGTAACTTGGTACGAGGTCGGGTTGGTAGAAAAAGACAGACTTGCCAAAGGGTTAACCAAAGCCCAGGACCATACAGGAAAAGGGGTTTACCTTTTTTACCGTGCCTATTCCGCTCGGTTAGAGCGCTCTCGTTCCACGAAAGGGATTATTTACCATTGTAGTTCTGCAGAGTCCCCCACAATGTCTGGTTGACGTATATTTCCATCTTCGCAACCTCTTCTGCACTCGGTTGGACATACTGCTTCATGGAGGCTGCCAACCACGAGCCTGCTCCAGCTTCGTCACTGAGCCCCGCAATCCAGACTCTCGCGTCGTCCTTCACGATAGCATTCACCTCTCTGTCATAGCTTATCACGGAGGGCGCTCGGTGGAATGGATCTGACGTGTCGTTATACCACTGGGACGTAGTCAGGAAGTTGCCCAAGTCAGCTATGGCCTGAGATCCAGCCTTCGTGAGATAATAGTGCACTGTCTGCGTCGTCCCATCCTCATACGTGATAGTCAGACGAGCGCGACCCCAAGCAGACACTGTGAAAGTATACCCGACCCAGGATGCGTTCTTGGATTCGGTATTAGGCCGCCATGTCAAGGCACCCTCCGGGTAGACCGAGATAGACCGGACTTTCGACGCGTAGTTGAGGAAAAGCTTCCCTTCCTGGTCTGCGGGGAGAATGTAACCTGGTATACCCACCGCCACGGGGCGCTTAGTCTCGATCAACGTATCCTCGATACCCCGGATGGACGACGCCAGCCGGAACTGCAGCCCGTAAGTCCTCGATTCGCCAGGCTGCAGTGTCACTGATGTGGGTGCGTTCCATGGTTCTACACCAGACCATTCGTTTTCTGCATACGCTAGCGTGTGGAACTGCCATTCGTAGAGGCCTTCGAAGGTCTGTGATTGATAATAGGGCGGGTTGGTGGTATCTTCAGGGAGGAATCGCCAGCCTTCCAGGGGAGAAGAGCCGACTGGGAGCACCACTAGAGCAGGAAGTGTGCCTAGTAGCGGCGTTACTTGAACGTAGCCAGCATCGACACCGATGTAAGGGTCGAATAGACTGCACTCTTCATTCGTTTGTGCAGCAGTTCTACTTGTGAATATCTGGACACAATCGATGCCAAGGATTAGTAACGGTTCACTACGACAGTCAAATAAATCACGTTGTTGAATTCTAGAGGTGCCCCAAGGGCGCCGATCTCCACGGCGACATTTCTTGAGTTCGTGACATTGAAGACGAGCTCGAAGATGCCTTCATTGAGTGCCCATTCACGGGTGATATTCAACAGTGAATTTGATGGCAAAGTAGGAGCCAGGTTCGCAGCCGCCAGCATGCTCCCCGAAGCGGCCAAGGCGGTGACAGGCCTCCGAGAGAAAGCACTGTCTCCACTCGTCCAGTTCGTTGAACCCACCTGCCTTGCTCGAAACGTCATATCGCCTAAGTGATAGTTACTGTTGTTTTGGCGGAGAGTCATCATATCAGTCGGGACGAAGTTGAAGCCGGAGCTCGTGTTCAAAGAGTACAATGTCTGGGAGTCTTTGACTAGCTGTACCGCGAATGTCGGCGTGTTGAACGTGATGAGGCCATCACCTAAACCCAGAGTCCCGGACTGCGCCAAGGCTGTAGACCAGAGGGCAATGAAGGCTACCCATGGCGTGCGTCCTGATTTTCTCATCCTGCAGCCTGAGGTCCTGAAGGCAATTTAAGTGAATTGTATGAGGGATGGGAGGTGAGTCTCCACCTAATACGGCTGAGCTCTCTCACTAGCGTCGGTCTCTGGATGCAAAGGAGAGCCTCGGAAGATTTGGACGTCGGACGTACGGGTCGATTAGTTTATCTGTCTGTAAAATACATACAGCACCGCGTGATACTGACTTCTTAGGATGACTGAAGCTTCTTCCACGGCCTTCTCCCATCGGTGCTTTTGCGTAAACCTGGCGGTCCCTCGTACTTGCTTCACGCATCAAGCTTATTCCAGAGTTACTGGAGGTTAGGGTATGCCCCCATCAACAGTCTGTGGATCACCCGGAGAAGCTAGCGCCGACTGGCAGTCGAAGTTCGCATTGGGGCTGCAGCAAGCGGTCGAGTCGACTCATGAGTCTACTGTAGAGCTCAGTGAAATACCCTGAGTTCTTGGCAGCGGTTAATAACAAGCTGTAATTAACAGGTTAATTACTTGTCAATATCTCAGGGTCGGATTTCCCTTGGTTAATTACCCTGAACCGGGTATTCGGGATATGGTTGTCCAAGGAGACTCTGGGCAGTGTCAGGGTGTATCTGGTGTTTCGTGAGCGACTACAAGCCACTCTACGGAGGACGAGACAGTTATGCCACCTACTGTCCAGGCAATGAGGTTGTTTTCGTCGTGTGCTAAGCCTGGTCTCTCACGCTGCTCGATGACTTGTTCCTCACAGTACTGTTCCTACGAAGGCTTTCAAGTGCTCCAAAGAGAACATGTCTCTACATTTATTGAGGCCTCAGGGATGTGTTTTACGAGCACCGACTCGAATGTACTGTCGAGGACACGGAATGTGGCCAAATGTGGCCTTTCGGTTATTGACAATGTTAATTACATGTTAATAACTACAATTTTTGTTAATAACGTTGATAACGCTGTCGAGAACCCAGCGGAGAGTAATTCACCGAGCTCTAGTCCTACTGTACTTTCGAGTGGCTGATCTAGTCTTGGATCCAATTTCATGAACTGGTTCACCTCATTTCAGATGTTCTCCACGCACGAGGGGCCTGCAGGGCGATCAGTCGCTGGTGCCTATGTTAAATCTGTGGATGACATAACCTCAGAAGCCCACTCTGATCATATGCTCCCCCCGTGTCTACGATGCGGACCGTCTGCAACGATGTGTTCGGAGGTACTTCGACGCCGCGGACCGTCGTGTGATCGCGGTCGTCTTCGCCATTCTCATATGAACGAGGTATATGGTCGGATTTTCTTTTGCCCTTGAGTCGACATGGCTCGCGTACTCACAGCAGTCCTCGCGGCCGTCGCTGTCTCGTCGGCCTTCCCAAGGACCGAAGCCGTACTGACAGCTCCCAATGCTCTCGATCTCCGCATCACGACGAATATGACAAGTGTGATTCCCTCGACGCTGTATGGATACATGTGGGAGGTCCGGAAACGGAGCAAAATGTCTCTATTTCACCTCACATCGACTCTGCTTTCAGGACATCAACCATAGGTGAGCACAGGCGAGTATCATGAAGTACCAGTCTAACGAGCTTGCAGTGGCGATGGAGGCTTGTACGGTAAGTGGAACCGATCTATAACGCCGAGGTTTATCCTGACCTGCTCTCCAGCCGAGCTGCTGCAAAATCGCGCTTTCCAAGGTGTCTTGCCTGGGACGCAGAATGCGTATGTATGTTCTGCTTCGATGCGCAATCACGACTGATACATAGGTCTTCAGCCTCAATGCCTGGCAACCATACAATGGTGCAAGGCTGTCAGTGACGGACAAGACCAGCGGAGTGACCTCCGCATTGCCAAACAGCCTCCAAGTCCAGTTCCCTAAGACGGTATTTGGCCCTATTGGGTTCGAGAATACCGGATACTGGGGTGAGTGCTGTGCCTTTGTCTAAGTAAGATGTGACATGACAATATACGCGTAGGTATCAAGGTCCAAGCTGGCTGGACGTACAACGGATCCTTCTACGCCAAGTCAGACACATTAACCGGCTGCATTACGGCGAGTCTGAGATCAACGACTGGTACGACTTTCGCGACTGCGACAATCAAAGGCATTTCTTCGGAATGGCAGAAATTCACGTTCCAGTTTGAACCCAAGACTTCAGCCCCGGATACCAACAATGTGTTCCACGTCGAAGTGAACGGACCCGAGGCCGCCGGCCAGACCATCTATTTCGGCATGTTCTCGCTGTGCCCTCCTACCTACCTCGGGAGGGAAAACGGCATGCGGATTGATCTTGCTGAGGCACTCGCTTCGACTAGACCATCGGTGTGGCGATTCCCGGGTGGGAACAATCTAGAGGTGTGCATGGAAATCAAGCGTTGCTAAGCAGCTTGAGGCTAATCGGGCGCAAGGGCGAAAGCTGGGCTGAACGATGGAAATGGAACGAGACGATCGGACCGTGAGTACTGATGCACTCGACACGAAGATATGTGAACTAATCCGTCGCCGCAAAAGAATCGAGAACAGGCCTGGCAGAGTAGGCGACTGGGGTACGTCAAGCCAGGGTAGCAGAAACCCCAGCATGTGCTGATCAGACATTCTCTCGTAGGCTACCCGAATACAGATGGTCTAGTCAGTTAGACGCGCTTCCTTATAGATGGCACCGTTACTCAGCATTATTCAGGGTCTGCTGGAGTACCTGAACTGGGCGGAAGACATAGGCGCGGTAGGTCAACGTTACTGCCTGTATAATCCGCACGTAAACATGATTACTCATAGTTTATTGCTCTATCGTAGGAACCTATCCTCGGTATCTGGTCCGGAACGTCGATCGGCAATTACTCTGATTTACCGACATGGCCCATCGTCCCTGAAGCGGACCTTCAGCCGTATATTGACGATGCTATTAATGAAATCGAGTTCATCACTGCGGATGCAAATAGCAGTGAATGGGGCGCGTTGCGGGCCAAGTATGGGAGAGTACAGCCGTATCAGTTGAGATACATCGAAGTGTGAGTCGCGCTGAGGTCTATGATATTCACTCTGACTAATGCGACAAGTCCTGTCTAGTGGCAATGAAGACCAGGTGAGCAGCGTTCGAGATGGCCATTGCCGCTGAACAAATCTAATTCTGTCCCCAGTTCCAACCAGAATCGTGCGTGTGACCTTGTCCATTAATATGAATTCTCTGCTGAAGCTGACTCCCGTGCAGATACGCAGGGTATCGATGGAAAGCGTTCACCAGTGCGATCGGAGAAAGGTTCCCCGATCTGCAGTTCATTGCTACGACCTACCCTTCCACCGCTCTCGACCCACCCTACATGAAAAGTAAGCCAAGCAAGGCAGACTTCGTTTCTTTCACTGACCTCTGTCCGACTAGTCGATTACCACCAATACGCGGACCTGACTTGGTTCGAAAATGCAGCCTTCATGTTCGACAATTATCCCCGAAACGGGACGCAATACTTCGTCGGCGAATACGCGGGTATGTTAGCCGATCACTATAGTACGAGTGCAGTTTTCTTGAACGAATTGCCTGTAACAGTTACCTCGACAAACGCTTCCGACTATCTGGGTACTCTGGACACCGGAAGACTAGCATACCCCAGTCTTGCAGGCGCTGCTGCTGAGGCTGCCTTTATGACTGGCATGGAGAGGAACTCAGATGTTGTCTTTGCCTCAGCATGTAAATCCACCTGCTTCCTCACTTTCGAGTTATCACTGAAGCTTCTATCCCAGACGCTCCTAGTCTGCAACATATTAGGAGTTACTCGTGGACGCCTGACTTGATAACCTATGATGCCGGTGGGATCGTCCGGTCAACGTCGTACTATGTGCAGCAGGTGCGTTCTTTATCACCGATATGTACGAGTTTGGCTTAACTTGCCTATTGTGATGGTAGATGTTCAGCGTCAACCGAGGCACACACGTGTTGGTTACCACTCCTCCTTCAACTAATGACACCGCGCCCTTATATTGGGTGGCCAGTCACAACAACGAAACAAATCTTGTGTTCTTGAAGGTATGATCTATGAGAACATATCCTGCTTGCGGGACTCATATTCCGATAGGTGGCGAACACGGGGCCTGACGATCTAGTGGCCTACCTGCACTTTGACTTTAATGTCACTAGCCTGTTCGGTACCGCAGTGCAAATCAGCTCCCCCGTCCTCAGTCCGTTGACTGGGCAGTTCAATATAACCAACACACTGGAAGAGCCGGAAAATATAATCCCCGCATCGTCGAGCTTTTCTATACCTTACCCCGACAGGTACAACTACACATTCCCTGCTACGAGTGTAACAATTCTAGCCTTCGAAGCGGCGGGTATAGGCAGCTAAGTAACGAATGACGACGTGTAATCTCAGACCTATAGAGGATGTCCTTGTTGATTGCGTCCCTCGGTCAATGATTCAGTCATGAAGCTGGGGTTCGGTGTGGCGCGACTGAGTGCATGAAATTGTTGTTTGCCTAGTAAGATCTATTTTTGTTCAGTTCATTTCCTGAGTTTCGCTGTTGCTGACAGAGGTATCATTCATATGACCTGGTATCGGAGATAGGATAGGCGGAGAAAAGTCCATTCCGCACCATGTCGAGTCTTGCTGAGTGTGCGCATGTCGAGTAGCTTCAAGTCCATTCCCTGCCTAAACTGGTGAAAGACTGCAGGCTATCCACTGTGGGCGTATAATCCCGACATCATCGCCGAAACACATCCAATTGGAACATCTGCGCAAGCTGAAGCAATGCGTTTCAAATCTACAGGTGGGATCATTTCCTATGCTTCCTATTTTGTATTCCGCTTACGTGGGCTCATATGTCAGGCAGTTGCAGGGCAGGATGCCCGTGGAGAATATCAAAGGAAATCAGACTTCCAGAGCATCAGTCTGTTTTATTACATCGCCTTACCCTAGGCATCGGACAGAAATAGCCTTGGTGACTTTCACGTGGTTTATCCTTCGTCAGTCGCTCTTCGACGGAAAACGTAGGCTTCTATTGAACACAGGGCACGTCGGATCTGTCAAGGCTTCAGGCTCACAGAGCTCGGTCACCATGGACATTTCGGACGTTCCAGTCCCAAGCACGAGTTCTTCACTTACAAATGTTTACTCGTCCCGGGACCAAATTGGCCGCTGTCATGAATCGGACCCTCGTAGCAGAGCTCGAAGTGGGGCACATAAATACGGCTGTCGCTGAAATCTTCAGTGTCCCTGGGCTCACTAAGAAGCAATGTCGGGAACAGCGATATTATTCGCTCTCGCTTGCGTAGCATCTGCACTCAATCTGCCAAGGCAATTCAACGATGGAGTACGACTGGCTATTTCGCCCTCTTGCGGGACTATCGGTGGCACCCCCGCCAATGTCAATGCTGGACTGCTTCCGCTGAACGAGTATAAAAATATAGTCGTCTTTGGGGTAAGTGAGCTGCTCACTTCGTCGCACGTTGTTCTTACGTTAGGTATTGAGTAGGACGGATACTCAAGTAATGGCGTCACCGACGGCTCTAACCCTGCTCCCCCCGTAGTGGTTCCTCCTAGTCCCAAAGCTGGAGGGCGTATGTCCGACGGATATGTCTGGACGGAATATCTGGCCAACGACTCCGGCGCGACCCTGAATAATTATGCAGTCAGTTTTGAGCTCTGCCCCGCAGTATTTATTGACGTGTCGTTTGCTGCGTCAAGGTTGACGGTGCTTATGCTGACAAGTACCAGTGGTCGAATACAGCAGATGCTACGGATTCAACGAGCCAAAGCGAGTCTTCTTCTCGTTCCGCCCTGCCTCTGCTGACTTCCCTATCACAGTCAATGATTTCGTCTCACAAGATGACTACTTCGATCCAGATACTACCTTGTATATCCTATTCTTTGGTATCAAGTACGTGCTCCCTTCTGCACGTATGACGCTCAGTCGTCATTGACTGTTCACGATAAGCGACTATGCAGCGGGCAACAGTGAGTGGACAAATTCATCCAGGCCGGACAGCGCTCAGTCACGATTCGCCTATCACAGATAGTGCGGGTTTGCCGGCCGCTGCAGAAACAATTCTCTACAACTCGCTCGTCCTTGCATCGAGTCCGACGTTCGCAAAGTACATCCTCCTTGTGGACAACCATGGGCTAGGGAAGGAGACCGCCGAAGGAAGTGAATATCGTTCCAAGCTATACGGGGGGTTAGCTGGAATCCAGAGTGTTGGTCACGCCAATGTCGGCTTCATTGACTTCGGGGAACTCTGGAATGCTGTGCTCAACGGGTCTCCCGGCTATCACCAATTCGGCTACGTGAGCTCCGGTGCCTGCACGGAATCGACGAGCAGCTTGTTCCCGGAGTGTATCGATCCGTTCCAGACTTTCTACTGGATGCCAGAGTAGGCACTATGATGTGGCGACTTGACATGAGCTGACATCTCCTGGCAGATATCCTTCCGCGCAGACACATCGAATCATGGCGACCTTTGCTGAAGAAGCTCTTACGCAGTGCACAAATCCCTGAGTATTCATGCATGAAAGCGACGATATTGTACAATACTATTGGGAGCCATCCCCATAAGACGAAATTCGTTCTGGATTCGTTACGTATGCTGCAGCTTGCTTCATACGTTGGTGAATTTTGCGATAGACCTTCCATCTATCTACAGCAGAAAGTGTGATTCTCATGAGAAAGAGAAATAGGGTGTTAATTGACATAACTTATCACTGGTTTCCAACCACATTGTCCGCGTGCCACGGACGCGTTTGAGGACGCGTACTAATTAACGCGCGTGACTGTAATAAGGTCACGCGTTCGTGACGGGCAAATTCTTGGACGTGCCTTGACCACAAACTCAACCATCAGGTCACCTTCCACTATGGCGTCGACCTCGGACGTTGCACAATGCCTTAGGGACACGCTGAACCCGGATCCCAATTCTCGGATGTCTGCCGAGCTGAAGCTGGTTGAACTGCTGCAGACTCCGGGTATGTGTCAATCGCGATCTTGACGATGGAATGAGATCTTTACTCGGTCAACAGAGGCTGGGCTCGCACTAGCACAGTTATCCATATCTCAAGGACTTGAAATATCAATAAGACAGATGAGTACGGCACGTATATGACTTTATGCTGCGTCCTGACGGCACGCTATTTGCGTGATCACTCGGCCTGCATTCTGCTCAGAAAGTACGTGACGGAACGATGGTCTCCATACTTTGGCACATTCAAGGGGTCTGCTCCTCCTGTTGAGGTATTGTAAGGTACTTCTTAGAGCCCAGAATTCACTGACACTTCTGGTCTTAGGTTAAGACGCAGATCCGGCAGGCCATTTTCCAAGGTCTTTCCGACCCAGCCCGCAAGATCAGATCGCTATGTGTGAGTCCTAAGTGGAACTTTCGTATTGGTAATGGTAACACTGACTTCATTCTTGTCAGGCTCGCACTTTGTCAACTATTGCTGACTGCGACTGGCCGGATGAATATCCTGAGCTACTGGACTCCTTGATCAATATTATATCTTCCGACTCTCCGGATGCAGTCCATGGGGCCATGCAAATGTTCACGGAGTTCATCAAATCTGATTTGACTGAAGACCAGATATTACCTGTGCTGCGTCAACTACTGCCCGTACTTTTGGCGATATTGGGGGCAGCCGAAGTACACCCGTTTCTTTCATACCTCTCTCCCAATGCTGACGCTCTAGTAGCGGCACTCTCCGTTGACACGGTCCCGCACTATTTCGGTGTTCCGGCAATGCGTCACGGCTTTGTTTATGGTCAAGGACCAACATCCTCAGGCAGTGAAAGAAGCTACAGCGTCGGTGCTGCCCGTGTGGTTGGACGCTTTCAAAGTACTTCTCAGTATTGATCCTCAACAAGATGTCTCCGGGAAGGACGTCTGGGATGGTCTTGCTATTCGTATTCAAATATTCAAGGCAGGTCTTCCCATTCATTCCGTCGGTTCATATAGTTGCTACGATACCTACACAGACGCTGGACACTATCTACACGTCTTTCCCTAAGACACTCACACCATACCTCCAAGATTTCCTCAACGCATCTCTTTATCACTTGCAGGCTCTCCTGCCTACATTCACCCAATATTACCTGTCCCCAGATAACTCTGCTCCGCGCACGTCCGAAGACGAACCCATTGATCTTGCTCAGCTAGTCTGCCCGCTTTTAGATTTCGTGAACAATGTCACTAGGGGAGGTAAAGCGAAATCCTGGTATGAGCAAGGTCATCTTGCCGAGCTTGTCCGCTTGATGTTCGACTGGATGCAGATGACCAGTGACGATGTGAGTTTATATAGTTGCCTTTGCCGGGATCTGTAGCTCATGTCCGTCTAGGAGGAGAGCTGGTCGAGTAACGCCAACGCATTCGTTGCCCAAGAAGAGGACGAAACGCAAGTGTACGGTGTGCGCGTCGCTGGCTTTGAAGTGCTTGCGGTGAGTGCAAATCTCTGATAGCGTGGACGCGAGCGTGATCATGTTTTTTGCCTTCAGACTCTCCTGGATCGCATGCCAATACAGACCACCGCAACATTCCAGTCAGTTGTCCAACAGGTAGTGACTGATTCTCGGCAGGCGAAAGAGTTGGGTAACCGTGACTGGTAAGGTTAACATCCACGCTTATACCGGAACTTTACTGATAAAGCGCAAGGTGGCGCCCGTTGGAAGCCGCTCTTGCAGCAGTTGGCTCGCAGGCAGAATCCGTCGCGGATTGCATAGAGGATGAGGTAGCCTCTGAAAGACCCAAGCCCATTGATATCGAAGCTTTGCTCACCGATGTTGTACCTTCTTTGTTGGGCATGTCCGGTATGCCTATCAACTCATCTCCACGCCACCTCAAGGTGTTGACTGTATCTTGTGCTTGCCAGAATGCCCGTTCTTGCAGGGCCGCGGATTCGTGTTTGCAAGTCAATATGCAAAGCTTCTGCCGTCCAATCTCGCTGGTCAGTACTTGGAAGCCGCTGTCCAGGTCATCGAAGCCCAGGACGCAGGTATTCCCATCAAGATATCGGCAGTCAAGGCGGTACAGAAGTATGGACTCCTACTATTGGGTTAACAAACCCTCTGACGTTTTGTCCAGTTTCTGTCAAGGCATGGAGGCTTCCATCATCATTCCGTTCGCACCACGGATAGCCGCAGATCTGGGCCCTTTCCTGTTGATGACCAGCGAAGACACACTTTCTCTTGTGCTCGACACTGTATCTGTCGTGCTTGACATCGACGATGGAAAGTGGCTCAGCGTGGAACTGGCAAGCTCTCTGACCTCAGCTGTCCTTGACGTATGGTCCAAGAACATTAAGGGTACGTGCCGCTTTTCGTCACTTTACCAATCTTCTCATTCTCCAGGCACAAAGATCCATTGTTCATTTCTCTTCTCGGAGAAATACTGTCTTCGTTAGCCGGTTCCAATACGCCTGGAACATACGAAATAGTTGTCAGGCAGGCGCTCCCAGTACTATCGTCGGCCATGGGTTCAGCCAAACCCGATGAATCCTGGATTGCAGAGTCCGCTCTCGAGCTAACGACGGGCCTTGTCGAAGGAGCACCGGATTCCGGGCTTGGCGACGGTTTCTTTGCTACGCTAGCGCCTCCTCTTTTTATGTGCCTGAAGAGCACGGAAGATCGGGACGTGCTCCAGGTACGTCTAGGAAGAATACATATCAAAGGAACGTCACTTAAGTTATCTGGCTCAGAATGGCACGGCATGTTTGACACTGATCATTCGCAAAGATGTCGGCCAACTCCTGGCATGGTCAGATGCAGAGGGTCGATCGGGACTGGAAAATGTTCTTACCCTCATAGCCAAGCTGCTGGAGAATCAGGACGAATCAGGTGGGCTGTTCATCGGCGATCTGATCATTCATCTGCTTCGAAGAGCAGGGGATGCTGTTCTGCCTGTCCTTCCGGAAATGTTGAGGGCTATGGTCGGCCGTATGAGCACAGCAAAGACAGCAAGCTTCATTCAGGTCAGATAGTATCTTACTCCCCACGATCACCGATGCACTGAGCCGCTTTCGTCACCCTTATAGAGTCTGATCATTCCGTTCTGTTTCCTCATTAACAATCAGCGTGACACTGTGCTATCGCTCCTGGAATCCACTCAGATCCAAGGACGCTCTGGCCTCGATATCTTCATTCAAACATGGTGTGAGAACGCAGAAACGTTCCAAGGCTTCTGGCCGAATCGTGTCAGCAGTCTCGCACTGTGCCAGCTGTATACTTGCGAGAGGCCTAGCCTGCAGAACCTGATGGTGAAAGGTGACATTGTGGTAAAACCGGAAACATCGAACGGTACGTATTGCGGGGTGACTGGTTCATTTCGGTCTCTGATATATCATATGCGATAGTCATCATGACACGATCGCGAACGAGGAACAGTGCGCAGATGTCGTAGTATTCCGGTCGACGCTGACTGAATGTTCTCCCGCCAGTGCCTACGGAATTTACGTCCGTGCCGTTCCCGGTGAAGGCGATCAAATTGCTCCTCAAAGATCTGCAGTTGGGTGCAGAACCCACTGCTATGAACGCACCAAGCGATGCTGGTGATATCGATTCTGATGACGGGGTATGTAGATGCGCGCCGCGTTAGCGCTGATTACTGATGCGATGACATTTTAGGACGAGGATTGGGAGGAGGAAGAGAAGTCAAACCAAGGCTTCAAGGAGGACGAGTTTGCGTTTCTCTCCGACATGCTGGGTGGGCACGGCATGACATTAGAAAACGACGATCTTTTGGAAGATACGGATGATCAAGACCTCCGCAATGATCCCGTTTCTCAAATGGACATGCAGGTACGTTAATACTTCGCCAACAGTCGACACGGAGGCTGATATTGATTCTGCAGCAACACTTGGTCATGTTTTTCAAAGAGTGTGCGTCACGGAATACCAATAACTTCCAGGGGGTAGCGGGGCAGCTCTCCGCTAGCGAGATGCAGGTGCTACAGAAAGTGGTGGGGCAGTAAGGGCTGATTGTGCGGCGACGTCTAGAATTGTATTCGAACTCCGTCTGTTTTCCTGACTTGCTGTGATTAATCCTTGGATATGCTATAAGTACTGGTTCATGTGGAAGGCTCCTCTAGGTCTACGAGAGCAGTAAGCAAAACGGTCTGGCCGACGTCATGTAGGAGTCTCCTTGCACAGATCCCATTCTCGCACGGAACCCCGTTTCTTGTATTCGATGTCCATGACGCTGGGGCCTGAATCCCATCGTTCGCTGACGCCGGTCGAGATTCCCTTCTTGTCCTTACTGGAATCTTTGATTCCATGCTTCTCCAGCCACTTCTTCTCGGCCTTGTCCTGCCTTCGTAGTTCGATGAGCCGTAACATAGCATCCCAGCCTTCGAAAGCAGCATCATCGATAAGGCCCGTGGCTGGTATCTCCGGCACCTTGAGGGGCGCAACGTCCAGCCTTGGGTCATAGGATGCCTCAAAGTATTTGTCCATCTTGGACTCGATTGGAGGAGGTGGCGGGACGGGCGGAGGTGAAGAAGAGGGGCTCCTGGGACGGCTCCTGCGAGAGGTAGACTTCTTGGAAGGTTCGATGAGCGTTTCTTTATCCCTTGCTTTACCCTTGCCGGTCGATTTGGAAGAGTATCGAGATTCCCTGTCAGAAAAATCGTTGTCCTCAGCCTTTCTCTTCCCTTTCAACTTCGAGCGTAGCTCGGCCTCTCTGTCTGGGTCTGTAGTCGGAAGTCGCGGTGAATGTGTAGAATGTGTAGAATGTTCGTCACGAACGCCGCTTCCATGGCGAGCTAAACTGTCCTGATGATCCAATACTGGGGCCGATCGATATCCCTCCCTTGAGCTTGACCGCGAGCCAGCAGCGCTGCGAGACTTCCGGGAGCTCGCGCGATACTTGCCATCATCCTCGGGACTCCTATACCGTCGACTCCGATCTCTTCCCTTCTCCCGGCTATCCCAAGAGTCCTCAGAATCAGAACGACTTCGCGACCGAGCACGCTTCCTGTCCCGTCGGCGTCTCGAGGACTCCTCGTCATCCTCGCTAGAGTACGACTTACGGTAATCCCGAGTGCGCCTCTCCTCCTTCCTTTCCGTAGAGTACGAGCGGGACCGATCCCGTTTGTGTCTCGAAGAGCGATGGCGGTGAGAGCGATCGTCGTCCTCATGTCTGTGCCTCCTCTGAGACCTTCTCCGTCTCTCTCTGTCATACTCGTAACGGTCGTCATCCCGCCTCTCCCAGCTTCTGTCCCGCCGTTTCCTATCCCTGTCACGCCGATGGTCGCGGCTGGATCCTGCTCCTCCTCGTCGCAGTCGCTCCGCCTCCGCCGCTTCCTCCGCTCTCGCACGGCGATCCCTCCTTTCCTGTTCTTCTCGCTGTTCCTTGATTTCTTGTGCAGCGAGGGCTTGTGCACGTAGAATAGTCTTATTATGTTCATCGGTGTTACGAATGATGGAGGACAGAAAGCGTTTATTGGCCCTCGGAACGTTGCTTGATCTAGTGGCAGGCTCAGCAAACATATATCATCGGTGTTCTTGTTAGGCAACTCACTCTGGTAGGTAAGCCCGCACACCCTCCGACGCATATCGTTCAGCTTTCTTCTTCGCCTCCTTCAGAATGAGCTCGGCGACGTGGCGATCTAAGTCCTCATCCGTGACCGTGCCTGATATTGACGAGCCCATCTGAGCTCGAACGAGTCCAGAAACAACGGATGAAAGAGATGACGGGGACATCGCAGCCCAAAAGTTTCAGAATATCACAGAGCGCTGCCAGGTAATATCGCTCAGGTGGACTGGTGGGTATGTGTGGATTGCAGTTGTCGGTAAGTAGAGCTTCAGCGTGCAACTTGGATGTGGTGGGTTAGACTGTGGCGTACTGTATATTTGGCCACATTTGTCGCTCTGGTGGCAACAATATAGACTCTGAAGCCAGCCTCTAAGTATCTTCCACCGAGTATTCTCGCTGACCTCTCTCTATGATTTCAATCGCGATGCTCTGTTCAGTTTGGCACATATTGCCTGCCACTTAACAAGATTTTACCTTAGTGAAGTGGTCCGATTGATACAAAATGCTTTATATCAATACGGCTAAAAGTATCCGCCCACTGGCACGTCCGTCCTCGATCTACCTCGTCTCTATTCGACTTCCATTCGGCTTTAACTGGGAAAATAATGCTGGTACTGCTACCTATGATTGTCCCTCTGTTCGAAGTCTGATCGCATCTTGAGACTACTGATATACAGTCACGTAACTATAGTCTTGTATGGTATGTGTGGCACTGGGTGTATCGTCTCATCCCTCTCATGACCAGCCATCGCTGATTTCGGGAATTGTCTTTTGCTTAGGAGAGGAGGAAGGGATTCCCAAGCGTGGCTGGTTGCACTGTAATCCTCACTTACGTGTGGTCCATAACAGCTGTCATTCTAAGATGATCAAGCGCGGACTGATGATGATATTGTCCACAACAGCAAGATGGGTTCTTTACATGGATTCTATTTACTCTGAAATACATGTAAAGGCGAGGAGCTAGACTCTTGGATTCCCACCCCGACCCCCACCCCGACCCCCACCCCGACCCCCACCTCGACCCCCACCCCGACCCCCGCCCCTCCCACTCCAGATGTCAGCAGGACCTGCGCAAGAGTCAGAGGTCATTAATGAGCTCTACGCTGCTGAAACGCGAGTCCGCGATTTCATCTACGGTCTCTTTGCTCTAGTCGTGTATGAACATCTTATTATACTAGAATGGGAGGTAATAGGTCCAAGAGCTCTTCGTCTGCTTGATACTGACATTTACGACAGGTAGCATATTTCTGGCTGCGGAAAGATGACTCGAAGTTATCCCGCATTCTTTTCTTTTGGGTATGTCATCTGTACCAATTAGCTAATATCCAGCCAGAGTTGACGCTGGGTTCAGAATCGATATAACCTCATCTTGGCTATCAGGTGTGTCTGCCGTGCACTCTTGGAAATGCCTAGCTGAGCATACTCACCATAGCATAACTGTATATAGTCAGCCTGACTATTCATTCCTTCACTCTATCTTGAGATACTGACCTTTTGCCAGCTGTCTGGTCTACAAATGAAGCGCGATGGGTGAGTTCTTGCTTGTGCCAACTAAATCTGACCAGGCTCAACACACTTCAGCTGTGAGAAAGAAGACCTTACGCTGCTGCCTTGATTTCGCTAATCTTACAGTAGATTCATTTTGGTCACGTTCTTGAACACCTCCGGCGTGGTGATCATACAAGGTCTGTCTCATGTCCCACCCCTCGCGAGCAGCCAGTATTGATCCACGCGATGAATGACCCAGTAATGCACGCCCTGCGCCTATGGTACCTTTTCTCGCATTCTATAGCTGTCAGGGTATTCCTCGTAGCCGTCACGCTTGGATATCATTTATCAGAATGGGTAGTCGTTATCCAAGACCTGGTTCTCAACAGCATCAACAGCCGAAGCTGGATTCCATCTCTCATCGTCCATTCGATTTTATATGTATTAACCGTCGTCCGCGCCTTCTTTCCGCGGCCATCCTCGGTAATGGAGAGGGACCACATGATTTGGGTTGTGCGACAGTGCGTTATCAACGTCTGTCTTGCAGGAGTGATACGCCGTACTCACCCAGCATCTTCGTTGTGCAGAGGTGGTTTGCTGGCTTCTGTGGCCTTCGGTGATTACATATGTACTGCCAGTATTCATCAACCATTGACTCCAGTGGGCGCAGCTACTACTCTCTTCTGTACGATTGGCGCCCTGGACAAGTACGACCTCAGTGTACGTCCCTTCCCAATTCATATCTAGCTTGTCGTCCACCTTTTGCTGACCACCCCATAGGTAAGCCTGCCTGCACAATACAGCGGGTGCGTCTCTGGACAGCCTTTTCCCCCTCGCCGCGTACTTACCGCGCCATGATCCATCATAACTGGTGACGGCAGTGTTCAGCTGGTCGTCATGTCCTCCACGATGAGCCGCCTCATGTTCAACATACATCAGTTTTCTGACACCCTGGGGACCGAGCCCGAGCTGCTCCTCAGCCACCTGGAGATGAGCCGGATCCGCATGCGCAGCACCAAGGGCATGCACGACGGCGAGCTGCTTGTCGAGGTCGAGAATACCGACCAGGAGGAGTACGAGCTGTCTTGCACGCATACGACTGCGAGGGGCCAGACTCTGGAGGATAGATGCCATCATGTCCACAAGGTTTCGGACGTCGAAGTTTGTCGAAGATTTGTGGTGTAGTAACTCTGCTCATCGATCTGGGGGCAACGGGGAGACCTTCTCCATCGAGGCCCTATATGAGGCTTCTTCTCGGTGTCAATATATAGTTTCGCATAGCTTGCTTTCGGAATAAATGAAGAATCGAGAATCCAAGCGTACACGTAGGTGTCCTTAGGCGATTTATAGTATTTCATACCTCGATTTTTTCGTGTGCTTCCGTGCTTCCTTGAAGCTTTCCATGAAGAGGTGTTTTCGGGTCTTCTGTCTGCTCCCCCGCTACTGCACGGACGGGACGTTCGTATAATAGATGGTACAGGCAGGCAAGGTTTCCCCGCACAACGCCTAAGGGGGAATGCATGCCGAACTAGCTGAAAATTCTCATGAAAACTACATTTATGACTTGCCATTACTGCCAGAAGTCTCTGTGGTGTAGGTACTACCCCTGATCGTTGGTCCCTTCGACTCTCTCACATCTCCTCACACTGGTCCTCCCTTCTTCATCAGCAGATTGAATGTTGGAAACAGTTTACAGCAGACAGCACATCGCCGCGCAAGATCTACGAGCACGAGGGTTATGGCGGCATCACGGTAGGGGTCTTCAATGAAGTGTGCCACAAGTCGCGTCCTGCATCGACAATACATGCTATAGCGCATCGGCTGCCTTCCGGCCACCCTGACGATCCCGCGATGCATTACCCGCGCGGGTGCCGGGCTGGGCTGCCCGCTGCCTACCACTTCTCGACACACTGTCCTGACGTCTGTCAAGAGGCATCATGAAGGGCGGCGGCTGCGCCAAAGGAGCAGATCTCGGCAGCATTCTCGATGCCTTGGGTGTTGTGTCAGGACTGGGTGCAGGGGGCGTGGTCCTCCCTGCCGTGCTGGAATCCGATCAATCTGGGGCCTCGCCCTCTCCTCGCCCTCTCCTTGCGCTGCCCCATTCCGATTCCCCTAGAATCGGTTTACTGTTCAGTCGTTGTATAGGGCTCTCTGGTGATCGAAAATTGCCAGCGTTGAACAGGGGGTATACCCCTTATAGCCCAAATTACCTGAACTGTAACGGGAGCACCCTCCTTAAATGGAAGGTCCACCGATCCAAATCTTATCACCATCGGCAAATAGGAGCTATTACCTCTCATGTCAATAATTACCGTTTGTGAATAGGGACTAATTCCAGATATGTAGTGTGGTCTCTGCACGGCACTATCCTTTCAAGATCTCGGGCCAATGGCACTGTCAGGCATCCCCCGGCTGTGAGTGGAATTGCGCCGATGGCAAGTACCCTGCTAGGCATAGTACTGGCAGCATTGAGGCCTCAGCCTGACGACGTGCATCTCAGCTACAGTATGCATGTGCACTGACTCAATGACTCAATAGTAATGCTACCCGAGTGTAGTACTGAAGTAATGCTACCCGAGTGTAGTACTGAAGTAAATAGTGTATTGTGTATTGAAATAACTGTACTTGACACCGAGTATAGGATGATTGAAGGTTCTAGCCACACACAGTTATGTTTGAGAGTTACGAACTTATATGATTTAGTATCACTGAGATCAACACATAATAACTAGGAGTATTCTTGATGCCGCGCAGCACCCGGGAGGCTAGAAAGACTATTTACCTACTTGTAGAACCCTTGCCACTCGTTTACCTTATGAGGAATCGGACCTGGCGTGCCGCGCAGCGCCGAATACTTCCCAAGTGATGGAAGGGGGGGTCTGCATACATCTGGAGGTGCTCGCAATAGCTGGTAATGCTCCTCGTTTGGCGGCCAGTGCCGCTCTCACACCTGATGCTGTAGTAGTATTACATTAAACCTGGACAACACTCGTGTGCTCCTTTACAATATTTTGGGACAATTGTCCAGGCCTAATGTAATGGGATTTCAGGCCGCAAGCTGCCTGCCATGAGCCAGGCTGAGCTTGAATGGCCTGCCTCGGCATATACCGTTGCCTTGCGAGGCCCTAACACAAGCCAGGGCCGGCTGTACAAGGATCCATTCCTGAGCGTCCTCTTCACTATTTATCATATGAGTCAGAAGAGTTGATTTATGTGATGGACACACTCTTCCCCGCCAGCTAGTCCGCAGAGTGTCATCGCGCTCGTCAATCTCAACTTTCGCCACTATCGCGTCAGCCTTCTGGGCGACCTGTTCGGCTAAGTCTTCCTGGTAGGTCACCCACTGTAGTTGCTTGTGCACTGACATTGCTCTTTGTGTGTCCGTCGGACCTTTGGTAGATGAAGATATCTTAGGACTGCGCATCTCAGGCAGATCTGGGAGGGGTAGCTTGAAAACATCGCTAAGAAAGCTAGGCTGTTGGGTGTTGGTGGGATGGTAATCGTCCAGTCTGCTGAGGTTACAACAAACTTGGTGCGCCAGAAGAAAAGGATAATAGGAGTTTCACACCCTATTGTCATACATACTTCCCCGACTCCCACGGTAGTTGGGAGGAGGGCTCTATCGGGAAGAAATGGTCGCTCCACCATACAACCCACTCTTACCATGAGAACCTCATGTAAGCAACGTCCCGACCGGACCGATGCCACTTTCATTTCGACTTGAAGACAACTGCCCACACACACCTGACGTGAAAGGTCAAAGTGATGCAGTGCGTAGCATTCGATGAAAGGATGCATTGACACAAGTGAGGCTGACAAATGAGACTAGTATCTCTGAGTGGGGACTGGGAGGAAGCCCCTTTAAATATTGATGTAGATATAAGACAGGACTATATTGATACTGTGTATGTGTCCGTACATGTCAAGACTGGCATTCCGCAACTTGACCAGACACTAGTACTGGAATACTTGATGGTTTCTGACTGGAGTCGGGGATTGGCACTTGCGCCGCTACGATTCAATTACTTCTGACTGGACAGAAGTTACTTCTGAGTTACTTCGCAGAATGCCCCAGAATGCCCCCTGATATCACGTGACTGACATTCGCCCCATTGTTCAAGCGAAGCGGGACTCCGACTTACACTACACCAGATCTAGAGGCTCACGCTCACATGGCTGCCCATGTCCACAGTTCAGATCACTTTCAATGAAGATGAATACTGGAGGCTAAAGCAGCTCCAGATGACAGGTCCGCGGTTCACTGACACAGCTGTTATGAAGATAGACACCATTGAGGAAATCAGCCATAATTTTCATACGACGGTCTACGGCGGGCAGACCCAAGGTCCTAGGACGCTGCTGGTTCTCAAGTTTGCTCACTCCGCTAAGGCTCTGGAGGATCTTCAAAGGGAGGCAGATCTTTATCAGAACCAGCTCTCTCGTCTTCAGGGAACTGTGATCCCCATGTTCTATGGATTGTTCGAGGTGGTGTACGATGCCATCCATATAGGCTGCCTGATTCTGGAGGACGGCGGTGATAGGCACTAACACACGACAACACCAAAGACCAAAAAGAAATAAAACCTAAAACACCCAGTGGTATGGGTGTAGGCGGTCTAAGGCGATTGAAGGGTAATATTTAAGTTCGAAGGGAGGGGGAGAAGTTAGACGCCGTAGGGTAGCCCGTAGGAAAACCTAAAACAAACAAAATCTTGAGGCCTGAAACAAACAGTATAGCGATTCTCCAGAGTATTTATCTCCGAAGTTCGCCAGTAACCCGGGTGGGGAGTTCCACTGAACCCGAACAATAGTCTCGTGCCTACAGACGCTTGGTGATTTTTATACTTTAAATCCGGAGCTTACTTGGATCGATATGTGATGGCGGAGTTATCTAGTTTCGACGAGTCCGGCCTATTGGCAAAGCTAGGATTGATTGTAGACGCTAAGTCCGACGCGAAGGGATTCCGAGGGTCGCTGAGACGATAATTCTGGTACGCTGAGAGGGTGAAGTACAAAACTTGGATTTTCCACTACGCTCTATACATTTTTATGCTATTGGAATGGTTTTGCGTCCGCCCGGAGTTAAATAACAAATATGCTCCGCATCCCACACAATTACTCAGCCTTTGCCCACCGCTATACCATGTCCCATACGATCCTGCCGTGTTTCCACGTGCTCGTCCTAGGTCCTAGAGGTAGCCTCGACGCGTCAATGCTCGCTTGAAGTGCCTCATCACGCGGTACTGCAGGCTGATCACGTGCAGATTAGCTCCGGCCGCTTGCTGACTGATACGTTCCGTCCGGCCGTCGATTTACGTCCGCTGACTCGGTCGCTTTGACGGAAACAAAGGGGAGTGATGACTGGGGAGTGGTAATACCAATGACTCACTGCGACGCGGGCCTCCGCCATTCCCGGAGATAATTAGTCACAAAGATATTCTTCCGGGTGACTTTGGAGCATCTGGCTGCGGAGCTAAATCATTTCGGTGATCTGCGCCTGCCTTGAGGACGTTAGAAGGTCCGGAATTAAATCCAGAACCCTTCGTCGGTTACTTGTCGCATAAGAGGTTCGACAGGTGGTGTCGAATAAACTTTGGAGGGGATGTATGGTGTGTCAAATTCGCAATTTCGGGGGTCAGAAGATCGCTGGGGCTTATCAGCGGTGATCCTCTGAACATCATATTCCCATACCTCCCTATGCTCACCAGGTTCGTATCGTGCAGTACCTCACCGCAGCAATAGCTTATGACTGGCAAGTCAGGATCACTATTTTACGTTACCTTCAAGAGATTCACCGTTGTGGCATTATACACGAAGATTTTCG